GACTATCAAACAAAATGCAGCCAAGCATCGCTTTCCCGCACCCTGGCCACCAAGCCGCAGTGCTTCAAGATGGATCGATCAATGGCGGCGCGGTCATGCTCCTCGCTCCTGGGCATGTGGGTTCTCAGCAGGAATAGCCATGTAAGTATGTGTCAGTCAACAACCAACAAATGACAAGAAAATGCACAAGCAAGTAAGTCAAGGTCAATTGAACATCAATAAGTGCAAGCAAGACACTCCAGCATCCAACACAAATTGTGGCACTGAACTGAAATGTGGTCCGCCACTTCAAAGATGATGTCTTGAGGACGGTCAACGACGCTGCCGTTTGGAAGGTGGGCCTGGCCTTAGAAGACACGGTAAGAGCTGCAAGCCCGTGGCATGAAAACGCAACCTGATCAGAATGATGATACCATGGGCATGCGTCTGAAATCTTAATGTGAACCAAGCAGCTCTCGTCCTCATCCCTTTGATGGGCCAAGCGAGAATGGCGACCTTTCGTGGCCAGCGAGGCACGCTCCACGTATTTCCAGTGCAAGCACCCGCCATAGTTGTACACGCGGCCGCTCTCCAATTCACCAACCCTCAGATCCAGTTCTACTACACCACAACTCGTGCGCAACTATGACACAAGCAAACAAAGCAATGACACAAGCTTGCAGTTGCAATGCATGGGTTAGCAAAAGTTGTTCCAAGCTACGCCTGATCGGACAGAGCAGGATCCAGCTTCCACCTTGAAATGTTTGCAATGCGGAATCCATGACAGTTGGCCAATGAATGATCTCAGTTGGCCACTCATGTGTCATCATGTGTCCACTTGCAGCAAAGGTACAGCAGAAACAAAGTCTGCTGGCCAGCGCGATCCAGCTGCAAGGCGATCTTCAAGTACTTCTCCGGCAGCTGTGCCACCGCTATGGAGTTGGAGGGCATGCAGGCAGAAAAATTGAATCTGATGACTTGAATCTGACTTGAAGCTGAGGGTTGAAAAGCTTGAAATTGAATCTTCTCATCGGCTGAAGACTGAATCTGATCTGACTGTGATTCGATCTGCAAATGACATTTTATCTGATCTGACTGTGAGTGCGGCAAGTTGAAGGTCAGTGTGAAGGCTAGTTACTAGTTGAGTGTGGTAACAAGTTGAGTGTGGCAACTGCTTGATGTGCTCCCTCTGAGGGTATGAAGGCCCCCTTCATTTGATCCACAAAGGGCCATGGATCGGTGGTTGGCAAAAACCAGGAAACATTAAATGAATCAAACTCCTGTCATGACATCAAACTCAAGGAACAGTCACGATATAAAAAATACTCGGAAACCATGGATCAGAATCAGAATCGGTGAGTGAATCCACCCGCAGCCCAAAAGTTAAAACCTTAAAGGTATACACGCGCGATCAACAAATGACAGAACACGACGACACATCCTTGCCTTCCAGCGCAGGTGCAGCAAGTCGAAGGTATGTTGAGGACCTGGCTCGGTTGACTTGAAATGTCAGTTTATTTGTTCATGTCCAATGTCAGTCATGACAGAATGGTGGACCGCCTTCTAGTGACACAGTGGCATGGGACGACATGGGAGTTGCGCAGCAGATTTAGCAACGATGTGAGATAGAAAGACATGTGAGCATGTGAACGTTAAGAATGTGAAATTATTGAATGAGTGATTGAATGTGAATGTGAATGTGAATGTGAATGTGATTCAGAAACAGCGAAACTTCTCACAGGGCGCCCACTTCAATGGGTCAGGACTCTGCCTGAAAAGGTTAATTAGGGACTCATTTCAGGGGACCATTTCGGTGAGGATGAGTCAATCACCAGCGATTGGCAATTACTGTGAATCCTTCAAAGATCTCAACCTCACGTGAGCAGCTATCATTCGCTGAGCTCCGTTCAAAAATTGATACTCACAATCGACTTTATCATTGTGAGTTCAACTGTGTGAACCATTCATCACTTGACCAAAGGACCACACACGGGCTTGATGGGACTTGAAATAGTCGTTCAAACAGTGGTTGCCTCTTGGTGAAGTGAAGTCCAATGACAAAAAAACATCCTGCCGCCTACTCTGGGTCACAGTCAACAGCAAAGAACCTGCAAAGCGACTGTGTGTACTGCAGGATTTCCTCCAGACTGGTCCTGAACAACTCCAGACGTAGTAGTACAGGTCTCCTCTGATTTGGGTCGTCAAGCACTTCCTCAAGGAGCCCGATAAACTCGTTGACATCCTGAGTCCAAAGATTATAATTCAGATGGTCAAACACGTCAAACACATGAATTGTTAATTCAAATCTCAAGTTCTTACTTATTGAACATTTTTTACTTTGAAAACTTGCAGCCAAGACTCTCTCAAAGCAAAGAAAGTTTCAGCGTGCAAGCTTTGGATTTGGAGTTGAACATATACCTCAGGTGGCTCAAATGGAAACAGAGCCAACAATCCAGCTGCTGCACGGACGAGCAAGCCACGAGTGACAAGGAAACCCTCGAAACAGGATGTTCAACACGTTCTCAACAGTGGCGATCACAGTCTACTAAGTCATTGAAGGAGTCAATAGAACATGTGACTACTACTACACAGTGACAAAGGTGGAAATACTGCACCACTGTCATCTGGCAAGGAGCAATAGGTGGAGGTGGTGTTGCATATCCTGATCCCCATGCTCCTGATGCTCCCTGCGCTCCCTGCGCTACCGATCCCGACATTGCCCGCGAATATCAGCGAATGGTTCAATGATTCAATCAATGTATCTATGGAGTCTTTGTTTTTTGTTTGTGTTCCCTGTGTTGCCTTTGCCTGTACTCTTCTGTTTTGATGAATTATGTTACTCTTTGGCACCAATCATTCATTCATGCTTAGCTATCAGTTGTTTCCTTGATGATCCACAATTATGTCCTCCTTCCGGCCCAAAAGATAGGCAGAATAGTAAATTGACATTTTTACAACTGGCATGAGTTCGATAGCTAATCTTGAAACTGACTATGAACATGAAGTTGCAGCTGATACTGACTGATCTGACTGAATCTGACTGATTGACAAATCATGCCAGGTGCACGTTGGAGAAACCCAGGTCGATGTAGAGGTCCACCAACCACCCACCACCCCAGGTCCACCAACCACCCACCACCCAGAACGCACCCCAATGCCTCATGGTAAGTTATGATGATCGTGCAGAACGTTTGTTCATCGAATGGCCCATGATAAATTGAACAAGTCAACCAAAAGTTCAAAACCACCCAGAACGCACCCCAACCCCCGATGGTAGGTGGCTGCACGTTTGTTCATCGAACGGCCAGCCCATGACAAGTTCTTCTTCCTCCCCCTTTGCTTTAGCATCCAATATTCTGACAGCATTTTCTTCTTCTTCATCCCCCTCTGCTTTAGCATCCAAATCAAAGGTGAATAAGAAAACTGAGAGCATCTTCATCTTCTTCCTCCCCCTCTTCTCTAGGATCAAACTCAAAACCATTAGCGTCATCTTCTTCCTCCCCCTCTTCTTCTGTCAAAATCAAAATCATTAGCGTCATCTTCTTCCTCCCCCTCTTCTTTAGTATCAAAAGCAAAATAATATGCGCCATCTTCTTCCTCCCCCTCTTCTTTAGTATCAGAATCAAAATCATTA